TAGTATTTACGCTAAAAGTTTCAAGCATTCAACATTAGGGTGAGCGCCAGTATCTCCAAAAAGTTCTGAAATGCCGAACATAAAGATACGCGCAAATAACACTCAAGCGATGAGGTAAAACTCACAATAACACCTTGAAAAATGTAAAGTTCTATATCTCCTCAAGGAAACGCATTCGAGACTTGAAACTTGAAATACTAGACTACGGTAGGTATCATGTGTGAAGGTTTCAAGCGGATACTCTTGAGTTTGACGGAGTTATGGATTTTTCAATTTCTTGGGTTTCCCACTAGGAAAATTAGAAAAATGCCTCTTAGGCTTTTTCATACCTCCATATGACCTATCGAATGGCATATGAATGAAGGAAATCGGAAGGGGACAACTCAGGGGGTTCCCTCGTAAGCCGTTTACCAAAACAGATACAGAATGGGAAGAAAAGGTCGCTAAAGAAGTGTTTACCATATCACCGGAACAAAAAAAATAAAGTTGGTTTTGAGTTGCCGAAAAGTGCTTTTTCATATCCAGCCCAAAAGCAAAACTAAGTCAGAAAAGCTGTCAGTTTTATTTTATTTTCTCTACGTTCAAGCTACTATCCTCAGACTACATGGATCAGAAAGGAATGTGATGAACGCACACACGTATAGAATAAATTGTCCACGATCTGATCGAGAAATCTGTTAAAGCACACTTGTCTTCTCAGCACATTCTTCTATCATTTGATAATGAATCTTGAACAAGCAATTTGTACTTTTAATACTCTTTTTCAATTAATTCGTTGTTCGGATGTTCTGGAATTGTCTATAAATTGGCTGTTTCTGTTTTATACGATCTAATGTCTGTTTACTTCGTTTTATTTGGCTGAGTCGTTTGAATGTTTCTACCTCTGTTATTGATAATTGACAGGCTTTTGTGATAAAATGATTATAATCGATCAGATTTTCCTTTGTTGTAACTGCTTTCTGCTCTCGTTGAATCTAGAGTTTATTTAAATTTTGTCCTTACTAAAGTGCATTTTTTATTTAGTGATTCTTTATACTGATCCGGGAGTAAGTCAAAATTTAAATTGTAATTTATTTTGGCTACTTCCCAAATGCGGCCGAAATTTAAGCCAATTAGTATAAAAGTGGACGCAATTTGGAAAGAGTAAAATTGTATGGTTCTGCGTTTCCAAATTGCGGCCACTTTTTAATTAGTGAGTAATAAACAATCGTAATTTAAAATGTAGATATATAAACTAGTCGCTTTTTATAAAAAATAGAAGTAGGCAATTGTTTTTGAAAAAATAATCAAATTAATGTGAAAAGAAAACGAAGTTCTTGTATACATCTATATAAAAATTATTATAAAATGAAATGCTGTGACAGCGGAATACAGAAATAATCGCGGAATAGAGGAGCAGACCAATAGAGGAATACAAGATAATTGAAATGTAAGGTAAGGTTTTTCTGGTGGGCAGTTCAATTAGATCGACATGATTTTTCCTGTAACTCTCAAGTAGTAGTTGTTAATGTTAAGAATAGCATTCACCACTCTCTAATCGCATATTTAAAAGAAGCTATGGCTATATTAATAGAGGTTAAGATTAGTGCATGCTCATTTGTGTTGTGTAATCTATATCACCGTCCTCAATCTAAGAAAATCTATTACGATCATCTCTTCGATTTTCTACTTCAAAATGTTAAAAACGATATCCCGTTGATTTTAACAGGTGATTTAAATGTCAATACAACAACACCTCCTGCTGGACTTCAACAAATTCTTGAATTCTTTTCTGTGCGCTCCTTCAATACCGCTATCACACACAAAAATACACAAATAGATAATATCTTTTATTTTAAAGAGTGGGACAAGCCTAGTACTAAACTTTTACCAGAGATAAAAAAACCACCACATTTTCTACTTCAAGCCAAATTTAAAATTAATGTTGAACCTAAAAAGGACGAGGTCAAATTCCTAGGCGATTATGAAAACTGTGATTTAACTACTTTACGTAAATTGTTATCGGAAATTGATAATTCTTTCTATCTTTCAAATGAAGTAAACAAAACTACCGAAACGCTTTTACATCATTTTACAAAATGTATAGAAAGTTGTGTACCTTTGAAACGGGTTTCTTTTAAGAATAAGGCAGTTTTTCGACCTTCAAAGGACACGAAAAGATTAATTAGAGAAAAAAATTTAAAATTTCGTAAGTTAAAACGTCATCAAACTTTGTTAAAAACTATTGAGTATAGAAAATTGCGAAATAACGTTTTAAATGCATTACGTAAAGATAAATATCGACATTTTTCTAAAATCAAATCGCATTTTTCAGATTCAAAGAAGTTTTGGTCTAACTTAAACAAATTTCGAAAGAGTTTTTTCCGATTATCCTAGTCGGCTAGATAGTAACACTACGCAAGCATGTACAGATCTTGATAAGGCAGAAATGTTCTCGCAATTATTACGAAGCTTAAAAACAAGAAATCTGTAGGAATCGATGGTATTGATGTCCAGTTTTTAAAACTATGCTCTGAAGTGATTTCACCACAACTACATTACTTATTAACTTTATCATTAGCACAAGGAGTTTTTCCGAAATTATGGAAAAAAGCGATAATAAAAGCAATCCATAAAAAGGGAGCACGAAATCTGTGCTCTAATTATCGACCAATTTCTCTCTTATCTAATATTAGCAAAGTTTTTGAGCTTCTTATTCATAAATGTTTACTAAGTCACTTGCATGAAAAACGTTTTTTTACTAACGTACAATTTGGCTTTAGGCCAAGCTCTTCAACAGTTGACGCTCTTTTACATATAACAAAATTCAAATTTGAAATTCATAGAACACTAACAAAGTACCAAATAAAGAATTTTGTCCAGAGTGGGCTCCACCCTCTCGGTAGTTAAGCCAGTAGCCCTCATGATCCGCTGCCTGCAGACCGGATGTGCTTCTCCAAATTTATCGTGATTATTGGAAAAGAGTGAATTCGGAAAAAAATATTGTGTGAGAGGAGAATACAGGGCACGACGTCTTGCTCGTTTGTATAATTCCGCCTTTTCAGACTGATCTCTAGCAACATGCATCTACTGCGATCCTTTTTTCTCTTTTAAGATGGCAAATTAATTTCCACTCTAAGTTTTAAAAGATTAGAGCAGCTCCACTACCACTAATATGTATCAAAATCTTTTTCATATTTTCTGAACAAAGTACTAGAAACAGTCACAAAAGAACTTTCTGTATAGAGTCACTTACATGACTCATCATCTAATAATCACTGTTCAAAGAAACGAACTTCTTGATTGATTGCAGCAGAGAATGTAGCGCTTGCAAGATTTCTATAAGATCTCTAGGTCGCCTAGGCTGAAAATCATCAGCAAAAATCACGACAGTTTTCTTGCCAGAATGAGATGAGACAATTTTCTACGTTTTTTTAGTTACATGTATTTTCTAGAGCTTTTTATATTTCGCTGATGATGATTAACATGTTCATAAATAAATGTTTATGAACATGTACATTACTTTTTTTTAGAGACTTTTAGCTTAGTTTTGATGCTCTACACGATGGGCAAAGTGAAATTTTCACGGCAAGATGCTTTGTATAAAGTGGGCGGACCTGTGTGGGAGTACCCTGAACTCTTTCTGCTAATCTTGAAAATTTTGTCAAAATAGAGTTCTATGAACTAGGCTGCCCCTTTATGGATTTCAGGGGCTGATTTTCAAGATTTTTTCCTGGTTTCTCCTGATTTTCAATTGTTTTCCTGCATCGATTTTAGCGGCATCTTGGACTAATAAAAAAGCGGGGAAGAGAAAGAGAATTGGCATGCAGTACAGCCAGGGATGTGGCGACCACGGGATGGGGGAAGGGGGGGGGTGCGCACCATCCCACTTTTTTTTAGTAGATTTGCTATGGAGCTTTTATTGATAAGATCTCAACGTTACAACGTTTGAATAAATGATTACGTGAAATATAAACAATTTGAACCAAATAACTCAATTATTCATGAATCTTAATCGCGTTATAGAGGTCGCAAATGACTGAAGAATAAATTTTCTCTTATGTGCACATGGAAAATGATTATGGTTCGTTCATTTTCGACCTATGTAACACAGCTATTTATACTCGAAATTACTATTGATGAACTAAATGCATAGATTTAGAACAAAACTATCAAAAATTGTTAGTTTTTCAGAGTGCTCGTTTGAAAAACCAACTGCCAGAAAAAAGATCATATGACGCTGATCTTCACTATTGGTTTTTTTGGTTCTTGTCGGTTTCTTAAGAAATATTTGTCTGTTTTGTTTACTGTTAAATCAGCACCTGGGAAAAACTACATGTATTTATGTTTCTCTCTTTTTCTTTGTTTCGCTTGTAAGACAGACCTTCTCATTATCTGCTTGATAGAAAAAAGTAACAAGCGTTTGTGGAAATGAAAATTTTCCTTGTCCAAGAAAAAACTGCCTGATACTCTGCCGGTTTTCTCCTGATGAACTCCTGATTTCTAAAACTTGGATTTGGGCACCCTGGACAAGATGCGCATACATTCGAATCATAAAGAACGTGCGGAGAAAGAAAAGTTAAAAAATTCTGATCAAATGAATGGAAAGAGAAGCAAAGAGAATTGCTTGTTCTTCACCGTTTCGAACAATCAATTTTTGCTATATCGATGACTAAATAGATCAAAGAAGACGAAATAACTGAAGACGCGATAATCGCTAGACAATTATTACTCCATACTTCTTAAACTTGAAGATTACGACGTATTCCTTTTTTAGTCTATGAAAATTTTCAGATTTAAAAGATAACTTCATTCCTTTGAAGTACGATAGTATAGTCAAAAAGAGAGAGAGAGAGAGATATGTGGAAACAAACACAGACGAAGAGAAGCGAACTATATGGTTTTGACATTCATTGGCAAAAGCACATACCAGAAGAATGATTATTTTAGCCGGTTTGCTCTCTGTTTTGTGTGCTTCGTACGTTTTAACAGGTGACCAATTTCGTCCACAGTTTCATTTGATGCCGGAAAAAAATTGGCTCAATGATCCGAATGGGCCGATGTATTTCAATGGGTATTATCACATGTTCTATCAATACAATCCAAATGCACCTGTTCCTGATACCATGTATTGGGGACATTGTTTTTCAACAGATATGGTCCACTGGATTCGATTGCCTGTTGCACTTGCTCCCGATCATTCTTACGATCAAGGTGGCTGCTGGACGGGCTCAGCAACCATTGTAAATGGTGTACCAACAATTATCTATACAGGAATCAATTCGAACGGGCAACAAGTGCAGAATCAAGCTTTTCCAGCTGATCTAACAGATCCCACACTAACAATATGGACAAAGTCATCGTTAAATCCTTTGATAACGTCACCGAATGGTCGTGATCCATCGACTGGATTTCAACTTCATGATGGTTATTATTATTTAATTTACGGGTTTGGTACAGAAGATTTAGGTGGGCAGGCTGTTCTATTTCGGTCTCAAAATTTCAAGAATTGGACGTATATGCATCCATTTCATTCCAATCATTATGACTCATTCTGGGAATGTCCAGATATCTTCAACATATCATCTTCAAATCAACTAGTGCTAAAAGCATCGCTATTGGGTCATGATTTTTGGGCTACGGGATCATTTGACTTTGAAACACAAACATTTGTTCCAACGGGAACCGGTGATGTAGGTGAATTTTCACAGTTAATTGATCAAGGACGATTTTATGCATCGAAAACGTTTTACGATCCAATAGATGACCAACAGGTAATTTTTGGGTGGGTTGCAGAAGAAGATAATCATGGGGCGGATCGAGGATGGCAAGGTTGTCATAGTTTACCCCGACGAATTGAATTATCCGATGACGGTCAGGAGATTCGTTCGCATCCAATTGATAACTTGAAGTCTCTTCGTGATAAATCGAGTCATAAGAAATTCATAAATATTCCTTTATCATCATCAACACCGTTTCGACTAATCGATGGTCTAATTGGTAATCAAATAGAGTTGTTAATCAACTGGCAGTTTCCAATGTATCAGGTAATTTTTCTTTTGTTTGACAATCAAACTTCGTAAGAAATATGCTTTCTCGAACAGTACTACATTTCATGAAAAAGAAGAATTTTGATCGAAAGTGTTTACGTGAACAAAATACAGAGATTAGATGCGCTCTAAGAGTACCGTCTGATCTGGATATGAACATATGATCATGTTTGTTATTTTTTGACAGCAGGTTTTTTGAACGTACGCACTGCGGTCTAAATCTAAATTCTCTCGTTCCATTAGATAATATGACATATCAAGGACTCGATAATACCTGAAGAAATAGATATTTTTCTATCTATGCGCATTCTTCATCCAAAACTGAAGATAAATCTCAATTTTTACACTTCAGAAAACTTTAGATTTCAAGCTGTACAATTCAGAAAGTCGGATTCATTAGTTATTCTGAAACATGGCATGGTTAGCTAACTCTGCTACCGGAGTGAAATTTGGTGACAGCTTTTAGCATTTTGTTTTATAATTTTCGAACGGCAAGAAGCCTAGTGATCTGAAACGTCTCAGATTAAAGAGAAAAGTGTGCTGAAGGTTATGAGACGAAAAGGTATGTGTTTGTATTTTTATCATAGTTTTTGAACGCAAGAATGTATAGACTACAGTAACGTCTCATAATCTTAAACACACTTTTCTCTTTAATCTGAAACATTTCAAATCTCTAGGTTTCTTGTCTTTCGAAAATTATAAAACAAAATACTAAGAGCTGTCACAGAAGTTCACTCCGGTAGGAGAGTTAGCTGGCCCTGCCGAAAAGCGACTGTTCTTTTAATGCAATTTCCTTTTTGTCTGCTTGTTATTCTGAAACTTTGAACTATATGATAGTTAAAATAGGTGTCGTGGACAAATTCACTGTACCTTACACTCATAAACACTTAAAATCGGAAAAGAAATTTCTACCACACCTTTGTGTAGACAGATTTGAAAAATAAGAAGTTCAATCTTTAATAAAAATATGTCGGCTTGTTTTCATGAGTAAGTAGTCTAAAGTGTCCGCTTCAAAGTTGGAGTCAAGCGAGATCTTGATTTTCAGCGGTTCGATCGTGGTATCTGACTTCATTGACATCCGGTAACTTGAAATAACCTTGAAATTGCATGAAACATACGTAATCGATCACGCTGAATCTTGTGGCAAAGTTTGTTTTTAGGAAAGAGTTGATATAAGCTTTGTTCTGTCAGAATACAGGCGGAAAAATATTCCATTATAGTATTCTAAATTAAAACTATCGAAAAACACAAGAGTAGAAGAGAGTTCAAAATGTGATGAAAACTGGGGTTTTCAAGTTGTTTTCACCTACTATTAAACAATTCACAATACACTCAAAAAACAACAGAAACAGCTCAAATCAGAATATAGAGTATTTATGCTATTCTATAGCGTAGTTATAAGAAATTTAGCAAAAAACAAGTTTACAAAATTTAATAGTTTTACGAAAGCATTTCTGAAAAAACTTTTAGGCAAACATATGACTTTCGGCTTTTTCGTTGATATAATCACGTTTACCAGACAAATTCAGCCATACCCCGAAATTTTGAATTGGTTCTGTTGTTTTCGGAATGAACTGTGAATTGTTTAATTTTCGTTTTGTTTAGCTTCCAATTGGTGAAGATCACAAGTCTCTATCACTTTTATGTCAAATGTTATTAAAAAAAACATCCGAATCTATTCTTTTTATTTCCGACTATAGTTTAAGAATTCGCTTTTTATTCTCAAAAGCACACTTTTAAATGTGTGTTCACGCTAGGTATATCTGAACGAAATACGTAATTTTGCCTGTTTTCTGTAAAATCTAAAAGCTTTTAAGATTTCAGTATTTATCCTCATTCCTTCTTTTTCATTTACCTGATCTTTAGTTCATCCTAGTTCAGTCTTTCACTGAATAAGGACTTTTGAAGAAGTTGAAGTTTTAATCTGTTTAAAATTTGAAAGTATAATATATATTTAGATATTCAGAAAAAATCCACATTTTAAGTCTAAAGTATCCGAGATGCTCATTTGGTAACTCGTGTCTTTATTCGGTCAAAATGATCCTTTAGCTCAGTAGACAGCCATTCCGCCTAACGGTCAAACAAATGTCTGTGCGTTACCGTTTTTGTCGTTTTGTTTCATTTATAGAATTAACAGAAAAGCCCGTGAAAAGCTGGAAGACATCTTATTTTGTAGCTAAAAGCGTGCTTGTTAAAATCCATAAAAAGCTCAATGTAAAATATTGACTTATCTATCTGATACAATCAAATTTCTAATAACCTCATTTCGCTAGAAATTGGATTGTAGCTGTTGAGAAATCACTATGGCAGAAAACTGATCATATACTGTGATATTAGTCTCGAACAGGTTTTGAAGAGCGC